AATGAAGTAGGAGGAGTAACACATTCCGATTTCAAAACTTACTACAATGTAACAGTAACCAAGTGCAGGCTGAAGGACTGATGGACAGACCAATGGAACAGACTGAGGGTCCAGAAATAAACTTACGTGTCTACGGTCAACTGATCTTCAACACTACTTAGGTGTAAATCTAGCAAAACTGTACAGGACTTAACACTAAAAACTACAAAATGCTGTTGAAAAAAATCAAAAAAGATCTAAACAAATGGGAAATGTAGAATATACGTGGACTGGAAGACTCAACGTAGTAAGATGTCCATTTCCTCTGAAATGACACACAGGTTAATGCAATTCCTACCAAAATTCCAGTAAAATGTTTCACAGATACAATTTAAATCATGAGGAAATTTAAAACTTCAATTCCTCTAAAATGTATAAGAAGGAAAGGAACTAGAGGAGCTGTGTTAGTTCCCTGTGGCTGCGGTAACAACTTAGTGCCAACAGCGGCTTAAAGCAACGAACCCCTTATACCCTCACAGCTCTGGAAGCCAGAGGTCCAGACACAGCACCCCAGGACTGAAATCAAGGTGCTGGCAGGGCTGCGCTCCCTCCAGCGGTTCGAGAGTGTCCTCTGCCTGCAGCCACATCCCTCCTGACAACAGGGCCACCACCCTCACATCTCCCTTCACTCCAGCTTCACATGGCCGCCTTCTCTGTATGCGGTGCCCCTCTGCCTCTCTGCGGACTAAAGAGCTCTCCAAACTCAACAGTACAAAAGCAAAGTGCCCAATCAGAGAATAGGCCGAAGTCGTCAAGAGACATTTCAATGAAAAGGATCTACTGATGGCAAATGAGCACATGAAAGATGTTCAACATCACTAGCTATCAGGGAAATGCAAATTAAAATCAGGAGATATTATTACACACCTATCAGAATGGCTAAAATAAAAACAGTAATGATACCAGATGCTGGTGAGCACTCAGAGACCCTGGATCACAAGCGCTGCCGGTATAAATGTAAATGAACAGCTAGTCTGGAAAAACGGGTTGGCAGTTTCTTGAAAAATTAAACATGCAACTACCATATCATATAATTAGCAATTATACTCGTGGGCATTTAGGCCAGAGAAATAAAAAGGTATGTTCACACAAAATCCTGGGCAGAAATATTTAAATGCAACAGCCCCTGGAAACACAGATGTTCGGCACTAGTATAGCCTGTCCAAACCACAGAACATGAGTCAGCGACAAAGGGGGCCTGGATCAGTCTCTGGAGAACTGTGCCCAATGAAAACAGCCAATCCCAAAACGTTCAAGAGCCTATGACACCACTTATATGACATTCTTGAAAAGACAAAATTATAAAAATGGAGAACAGATTAGTGGTGGCCGGGGCTAAGGAGGGATGGGGTTGGGGGGGTGGCTACAAACAGGCCACACGAAAGACCCTTGTGCTGACAGAAATGCTCAACATCTCGACTGTATGATGCCCACATGCTGACTGGGACACCACAGTAGCTCTGCAAGACGTCAGCACTGGAGGTCACCTGACAGGGTCACGGGGGCTCTCTCTACGTGATTTCTTTTGTTGTTGTTTTTTGGGGGTTTTTTGGTCTCCACATGATTTCTTACACCTGCTTATGAAACTACAATTATCTCAAAACGTTTAATTAAAGAAGACTGATCACAGAGTTTGAAACGTGGCGGACGACGCGGACCAGCAACAAACCATCAACACCGCAGAAGAGCCCCTGGTCCTCGTCGGGTTCAGCCTGGATGAGCAGATCCATGTGACAATGGGAAGTGACGCAGCGCTTTGAGGCAGGCTGCAGGGTATGACCTACATCTAAACATGACGCTGGGAGATGTGGAAGGAACTGTTAACAACTACAGAAACTGATGAAGAAATGTACAAAGAGATATATAAATCAACAAAACGGATTATTTCAATGCTCTTTGTCCGGGGAGATTGTGGTGTGCTAGCTGGCCCGCCGTTAAGAGTTGGCTGAAACAAAGGATTTACCCTGTGAGGAAAATAGGAGACTTTGTATGACTGACTCTTCAAATGCAAAAGACACTCGAAAGAGAAACCTGCATACATTTTGATATTAAGAAATGACCAAGACTTCTTCCACTACAGAAATAAGTTGATTTGCAGACTCCTGACAAATCCTTCCGCTCAATGGCATTTTTACTGTTTCTATCACCTTTTCAGTAAATGTGATCATCAAGATGCAGAACTCTTTTTTCAGGGGCTGATTTGCTCCATTGTTTTTTCAGACAATTCTGGGTTTTTTCCATTAAATTAAATTTGTATTTTTTTTTGACTTAAGAAAACACTGATCAATGGTAATATGTCAGAAAAATGAAAATCTCCCAGTAGAGACAAGGGGGGAGGGTGCGAGTGCTGACTGGGAAGGGGCTCACAGCTGTACGTAAGCACTAAGCCATACGCTTAAGATTAGTACAATTTACACATCTGAATATATGCTGTGCCTCAATGAAAAATTATTTTAAATTGCCATTTGATTATTAATCTTGTTCACTGTAATAATGGTAACGTATAAAAATATTTTTAATTGGAAATTTATCCACAATGAAAGGTACCTTGCAGCAGAAGCTGCTTAGGGGAGCGCGGAGGTCCCACTATGACAGGTTAGGGAAGGAGTGGGAAGTGAGCACGTATGTGCCGCTCCTTCCAGAAGCCGCCGGTAGGGAGTGGTGAGGCGGCACTCACAGGGGATGGTGCTGTGGAAGAGCTTTACTAACACAGGAAAACACAAGCAAATTCACATGCTGAAGGAAAACACCTGGTAAATACCGAGTTGAAAGCCATGAGCACAACACTACACAATCTTTAGCAAAGGTCTGTGGAAAGGAGGGCAAAGCAAACATGAAGAGCCTGTCCCCGTAGGAGAGGCAGCCCCGCACTGCCGGAACCGGGGAGGATACCTGCTCCACTCCTAGGTCTGATGGTGGAAATGACAGTAGCAGACATGACAGCAACACGACATCTGAACGGTACTGATGTGCTCTGTGACAGCCAGCCCCCACGGTGGCCCCCATGGCCCCTATCCTGATACCCACACCTGTGCTGGCTCCCCCGACACAGAGAAGGGCTGAACTGCACCATCAGGAAGGTGTGACAGTGTGCCACTGCCAGCTCCCACCCTGTTCCTCTCTGGACGGCTCCTTTCGGGGGAAAGCTGCTCACAACATTCAAGTATCTGAAAAGAGGCCAACCACACCACGTGAGCGAGCCACCGAGAGGCAGCCGCCTGGCCCTGGCCAAGCCTTCATAAGATGGCAACATAATGAGAGACCCGAAGCCTTTAAGACCTCTAACCAAGCTGCTTCTGAATGACTGACCCGCAGAAACTGTGATGTAATGAATGTCTGTCTGCTGTGTTAAGCCACCAGACCTGGGAGTCATTTATTCAGCAGCAGCAGGTACCCAGCCAGGTAAGCGTAAGAGATACACGACAGCCCGCTGCGTCCTCAGCAACTCTGACCCCCACGTTAGGAAGACGAAACTGAGACACACCGAAGTCAAGTCATTTGCCCCAATTACCTGACAACTGGTGTGATTTGGAGCCAGATTCAAATCTAAAGCCTGCGTGATGAACTGCCAGACAGGACATCCTCCCCAAAGCAGATGCAGACTCCCTCCCGTGGCTTTTACTTTGGCATGAAACAGAAGGGGAGAACTGAAGGACACAGAAAAGGTTTGAAACCAAGAATCATGACGAGGTCCGGCGAGAGAAATCTAACAAGATTTCCCAGCAGCCCAGGAGAGGTTAGGAGCCACGAGTGTCCCAGTGTGAACTGAAGATGACCACGACGAAGAGGACACAGGCTGCCGGTGTCCCCACATGGAACACAGAAGGAACTTCAAGTGCGGATCAGCAGTGAGGGCCAGACAGCAAAGGAAACACACGTCTCCCAAGTCCAGTAAGTCCAACAGGGAGCCACCGACAGAAAAATTCCAGACACACTGTATGTTCTTCGTCAAAGTATCGCAAAGACTGAGACTAAGACAAGAGATGACTAACGGACAGTGCTCTTCACCTAACTGCCTTCATCTCAAGCATCAGAAGTTTTTCTAGAGAACCTTCCCTTTTTCCTATATTTGTTCAAAACATCTCAAGAAAAACTGAAACTCGTGAAAGGAAAAGAACAAACTAGTTCCATTACAATCCGACCACAAGTAAGGGCAGCTTCACACCTACTGACTCATTCAAATTGATGACTCAATCTTACAACACAGCTTTAGGCCAAAAGTTTATCAACTTACAAATTCACCTAAAATTAAACTTTTCTAATACACTCAAGTTTCAATTTCATTAGTGTGCTTTTGTCACTTTACTTGAAAAACTGGCATAAACGAATCCCAAAATAAAGTTAGGTAAGAAAGGGGAAAAAGAATCAAACTACAGATACAAAATTTTATTCAGGCTAATGTTCAATGCAAGACACTTAAAACACAAAAGTGCATGAAAAGAACTAAAGGATGGTGAGCTCTCTTTATATATACATATATATTTTTAACAGGCAAAGTTCACGAAAAAGTTTCAAAGAAAAGAGTTAGTCATTAACATTCCTGTGACATCTTTCCTCATATATTCATTATTACCTGAAGACTTAGTGGAAACAAGTCAAAATGAGTGCAGCTGGAAAACAAACTTTTTCTAGTAAAAGAAGTATCATCATTGGGTACACTACACAAATCCTTTGTACTTTATGCATAATCAATAGAAAGAAAAAAAAAGAAACTTGTCCACACTTCAAGTGGCTCTAGTCCTGTCAAGGAACAAGACTTAAGAAAACCTTAAACGGAGCCTCCATCAATCCTACAAGGTTTTTCATATATTCTCTCTCTAAGTTTGGATAAAACCCATGTATTCTGAAAACATTAAGGCAGAACAACCAGTTCTTAAGTCTGACAAATATTTTAATTACAATCTATAATTCAGCTTTTCTGAAAGTGGCACAAGTGTCTCCTCGCCCACTTTCGATCTTACCCTGATCTGCTCCGTGGAGCTGCTGCTGAGCTCGTCGCCGGACTCGGAGTCCTGGCGTAGCCTTTCTGAGCCTTCTCCGGCCGAGTCCCAGGACTGCTCCTGGGAGAAGCTTGCTTTCTCTGCGTCCAGGAACTCGGGACCGGGAAAGTGACCAAAGAAGCGCGTCCTATTCTGGCCAGAAACTTTCGGAGAATGTGAATCACTGGTGAACTTCCCGTTATTATGGGTCAGGTCCAGGCTGAGAGTCTGACCTGGGCTGTAACTGGGTCCAAAATTCTGATTGGCATCACGAAGCAGACCTGATCCTTGAACAGATGACGACGGCTTTCCGAAACTTGAGAGCTCAGGCGGCTTGTTCACATTTTCTGCCGCTCTCTGGAGGTGGAGGCTCTGCACGGCTTTCACAGAATTATTTGGCAGCCCCCCTGCCTGTTTCACGGGTGGCATCAGAGCTTTGCGGCCGACCTCCTTCACGTACTGGGCGGGCACGTAGAACGCTTTGGAGTTCTCGTCTGGCTTGACCTGCCACCAGTCGTCATTGGTCTTCTTCACCAAGAGGTACCGCTCCCCTTGCTTTATGACAATCTTTCTGTCCTTGGCCTCATATTCGTAGTCATACTCCACCTCAATGTACACCTGTCCTGGGACAATCTTCCCTCCTCTGTCAGCCATTTTCACCAGTAACATTCACCTCTCAAAAAGGACGCTTTGCCACATTATGGCTCCGTGGTTTCTGGGATTAACACAGCTATTTTTATTTAAATGCAGGAAGAGAATGGAGGAAAAAAGTTAACAGTTTGGATTTTTAATAGTCATTCACAAGCACCATATAATAAAGAACATTACCATCAAACCTCAAACCCGGAAAGTAAACATGTGTCTAGTATTGTATGTACTGTCCTGCTTTAAAAACACTCTCATCCTAACTGTAATCCACATTTTTCAATCATTTATAACCAAAACCAAACCAGTGACTGGAACAGTAAACATGCTGACCAGCCAGACACACAACTATCAAAAATTAGAGATGAGAAGAACTTCGCTTCTTTTCACGACTACCTCAAACCTCCTTCACGTTCTTAGAAAGACTCCCTGATAGTAACCGACACACTCACCAAGGGCCAGGCATGGAGCTAGGTTCACTGTTTGCATTCCTAAAACCCTCTTTGAACTTAAAGCTGAATATCAATGACTCTGAATTTCATTCAAAGACCTTGTAGTTCTTTACTTTCTAAAATGATCAAGTGCATTAATGAGTTTTTTTAAAACAAAAAAAAGATACCCAAATATAGGTTTCATGTTCTAATACAAATGGATTAAAAAAGCACTGTTATTTTTAGGCAAAATACACACACAGATACAGCAAAGGAACTGCTGGTTTACTTTTGTTTCCTCTTATATACACTCCAGGAGGACCACAGTCCTGTTAAGCTGAATCCCACAAATGCCAACAAATAACCAGTCTTTTTACTTGTAAATGTTAAAAATGCACACACATACACTGTATGTACACATATTGTACGTAAGACACAAAGTCTACTAGAAATAGCCCTAAATTGGCTTGAGAAATCTAGGGTTCACTGTTTCTTCTATACCAATTTCAAACACTTTAGTACCTAATAAAACACAGCATTCAAGCTTCAAAATGATCCAGCATCTTGATTTTGCTACAATTCAAGTCACGCCCCAACCACTGAGGGATGAATTATGTTCCCCAAAAAGGTATGTCTAAGTGCTAACACCAGGACTTGTGAATATGACCTTATTTAGAAACAGGGTCTTAGCAGATAGGATCAATTTGAGAGGAGTTCACCCTTGATTAGAGTGGGCCCGAAATCCAATGACTGGTGTCTTTATAAGGAGAGGGGGATTTGGAGACAAGGAGGGGAGACACACTGGGAAGACCACTGAAGACAGAGGCAGAAACTGGCAGTGAAGCAGCGACAAGCCAAGGAGCTGGAGCCCTGCCAGCAACCAGCAGGCGCCGGAATGGGGCGGGTGAGGCAGAACTGTCCCCTGGAGCCCTGGAGGGAAGCACAGAGGACGTCTGGTGCCAGAACAGTGAGAGAATGAGTTTCTGCAGTTTTAAGTCACTCCGTTTGCAGCACCATGCCGCACACTCAACCTAACACTCCAGGAGCGTCAGGCAGACCCAAGGAACTCAGGATGCTACGACGCACCAGAAATGTGCATGCAGGGTCCCGTATCCACTTACCAGCACCCGGGGACCGCGTGTGATGTTATTCACACTGCACGTGCAGTAAGCCCCACAGCCCTCCCAACAGCATCCTCTGGGACAGATAAAGCCCAGGGGATAACTAATTAGTCATACAATTTCAGCAACTAAAGTTTACTTTCTAGACAAACTACCTGAATAAGTTTAACATAGTAGAGTTGTTTCAAAAAATAATAAAAATAAAAAACTTACCTTAGAAGGAGAACTAACCATCCAGTATTACATTTAAACCTATAAAAAAAAATGAAGTTCATTAACTTTAACTAAGATCGCTTACAGAAGGCTAGGCACCTAGTGTTGCTCACAGTTTCAGAACGGCCATAAAGAGCACAGTGCAGCTTGATGCATCACGCCTGTGCCCAGCACCACCCTCCAAACACACACAAACACACAGTGCGCTGGGCCCCTGCCCCTCCTGCTTCATTTCTACCTTGCTTCAAGATAATTTCCGCCCTTATTTTCTGTTCTGACACAAACGTCTTCTTAAACTTCTAGGAGAAATATCTTTTGTAAAGTCATTAGAATGACAGAGCTGTTTCCCAAGTTTATGATACTGAGGAGGTTCAAGAGAATGAAAACAAATGTTAAAAGCTGCTGGGAGTCACCGCGTCATTCCCTGCAGACCATTCACAAGGAAATACACCTTTGCAGCAAGAGATCTGGGGGTCATCAGCCTAAGCCAGTGCTCAAACTCAGAACCACCCAGTGCGGGCGACCAGATCAGATTCGGTGAGACACACAATGCCACCTTGTTGTGCTCTCACCAAAAACATGTTTAAGCTTAAGCTAATTATCAGGAAACAAACCCAGAATGCGAGACATTTGGTTAGAAACAGACTTGAACTCTTCAAAAAAAAATCAATTTCACACCGAATGAAAAATGGAGGGAGAGTCTTCTAGATTCAAAGGAGACTGACACACGACACCCAAATCCACCTGGTGATCTAACAGGTACCTAAGACTCAACCACATCCAAAATCTACTTCCTCTCTCTACCCCACCCCCACCCTACCAAACCTGCCTGGTCTTTCCTGACACAGTAAATAGAAATTCTAATCTTCCAAGTGTGCAGCCTTTATTTTCGTGCATTACCAGGACATTAGTCACCAGGAGTTTTAATCCGTTTACCTACACAAAAGTTTTTCACGACAACTTTTCAAAATTCCACACTGAAATACTTACCCTGGGGTGATGTGGTTTTTTTCCTTTTACTTTCCAGGAAGTAATAAAATCAGAAACATCCCTGAAGAAACTGAAATGAGTGAAGGAATATGCGGAAGGTCACAGGGGCTCAGGCATCCCCTAACTGGTCAAACACTGACCCACGGGCATGAAGAGGGAAACACAGAGGAGAACGAGTAACCTTCACGGTTTCATGAGGGCAGCAGAGGGTCTGCGGGCTGGAGACCACCACCGCTGGGGGCAGCCTCGCACCGCCAGGCTTCACGACTGCGCCTTCCTCACCGACTACAGAGGTGGGGAGGAGTTAGGGAGAAAGGTAAGCCAGTTTCACTATGTTCAACACCCAAACTACAGTTTTAGTTAAAGGAAATGAGAACTGGGGGAGCATCGAAGATGGAGAAGTAGTCAGAAGATGTCTAGCTGGAACAGGCGGTCAGACACGAGGCAGGGGACAGGAGCAAGGGCTAGCTCATGGGGACAAAGGGGCTGGGACAGATTTCTAGTTACCACAGGGATGGAGGGGTGAAAGCAGGGGACTCCCCTACAGAGAGATGATTAACATAACAAACTTCTAGAAAGTCGTGGAGCAGAAATTATGGATTACAAGCCAAGGTCTAGGAAAAGTTGGATAAAATAAATATGAAGAGAAAAGCCCCACTGTAAACTATAGATTCAAATACAATTAAAATAATTGTGGGGTAGCTCTAAAAACTTAGACCCAAGTGAAATTGACCTGTAAACGTGTGAGCAACCTATGGGGCCTATTTTCATTTAAAAACATAAGCTGTATTTAGGGCAGTGGGTACAGCTCAGTGGTAGAGCACGTACTTAGCACCCATGAGGTCCTGGGTTCAATCACCAGTACCCCCATTAAAAAATAATAATAAGCAGCTGTATTTTTTTTAAATGTTCGTGGTTTTAATTTTGGTTTGTTTCTTCCTCTAGTCCCCAGTTCTCTTTAGATTACGTTGAGCCCTCTTTACCCTGGTATCTTAAACCCCTCAAGAGTTTCAGTTAGAATCTCTCTGATTCTCACTCATTCAATTATGACACCCTCTGAGCACAACACCTAACTGAACCGCATGCTCCACTCACCGTCCACTCAGCCTTACTCACCACACACACGACTAAGGACCCAGCCTCCAGTACAGAGTGTGCCTGTCTACTGCCCGGTAACAACCACTGCTTTTCTCTGCAGTTTCAAGAACACCCACGTGGGCTCTTCATGCCTCCTACCAGTGGTCTTCCTCACGGTTCACTAAGACAACATCCACACACCCCCACACACCCCTCCCTGTGCACATCCTTTACTTCTTTCCCCCCGCCAGTCAGATTCACCTCCACCACGCTACTTTGAAACTAATGATCTCTTCCTTTCAGTCGGCGAATTTTCCTCATTTTCTTTCTGCACAAAGTACGCAGCTCAGCAATTGTGATCTTCCTCCCCCAGGACATCTGTTTTAATCAACTACTTCTCTCAGCGTGATATCCTTACAAGGTATATCAAAGAAGTCAACAAGGAAACAAAATCCTAAGAGAAATATGGTAGACGTATCCAAAATTGATGAGCTTACAATTTATAATGATACACATATGTACAAAGTACTGAGGAATTCTAATACCATGAATGACAAAAATGTTAATAGAGCCTCACATACATATTAACCCACTTAAAAACACCACAATTGCAGGACTGATTCTTGACAGGAAGTCCTCCAGTAGCTTTTACAAGTGCTTGTTTGAAATTAACACTCCCTAAACAGACCTCTGCTAAAGAAATCAATTAAATTTAAAGAGCACAACAAAAAAGTTAAAAATAATTCCAGCATAAGTTCCAGAATAAGAAACTATTCTACCAAATAATTTTGCAGACTGTGACTTAACAAGAAATCAAAGGCCATAACAGGGCACTTAAGGTGTTTTCTCAATGCACAGTCCCTGTTTCTTAAGAGTAAAAATAATAGAGAATGTATGACATTTCTCTAGGCCTGAAGAAGATAAGGAAAATATAGTGATTACTATTACAAGCTATTTTGGCCATAAAGAAATAGCAAAAACAGGAACAGCAGAAAGGATATAGGAATAAATCAGGTAACTGGAAAGCACCAGAAAACACAGTCAAGCATAAACTGGTGAAAGAAATTCAAAGTCATATTTAAATATGCAACAAAAATGAGGAAACAAAAGAAATGCTTGGGAAAGTAAGTATATTTTAACAAAAATGACATTTGCATGGGGTATTTCAGAAAGGTTTGTGCCACGAAGTGTTTCTTAGAAATGAAGTGGACGTAACTTTTTCTTGGATTGTTACAAGAGGGAGAAAATATTCCAATTTAAAAAGGAAGAAATATGACCTTGGGTTTGGCAAAGAGTTTTAGATATATCACCAAATGCAAAATCCATAAAAGAAATAAAATAATAGGGCTTTATTAAAATTAAAAACTTGTGGAAGAGACTGATGAGAGAATGAAAACACAAACTACAGACAAGAAAATATTTGTAAAATACATATCAGATGAGGGGCTTGTATCAAAAATACACAAAAAACTCTTAAAACTCAACAAAAAGAATCAAAATTTTTAATGGAAAAAGGATCTGAAAAAGACACATCATAAAAAAACATGCAGATGGCAAATAAGCACATAAAAAATGCTCAACATCGCATCAATAGAGAATTGCAAATTAAAACGAGATACCACTGTACATCTATTAGAATAGCTAAAAGCCAAACAAACTGACACCACCAAAAGCTGATGAGGACGTAAAGCAACACGAACTCTCTCGTTCACTGCTATTGGGACTGTAAAATGGTATAGCCACTTTGGAAGACAGTGTAACAGTTTCTCACAAAGCTAAACATGGTCTTACCACACAATCTAGCCATCACACTCCTAGGTATTTATCCAAATGAGTTGAAACTTTATTTCTACAAAAAATCCTGCATACAAATGTTCATAGCGGCTTTATTTATAACTACCCAAAACTGGAAGCAACCAAAATGCCCTTCAATAGGAGAAAGGATAAACTGAAACAGCCATACAATAGAATATTATTCAGTGATAAAAGCTATGAAAAGTTGCAAACGAATCCTAGATATGTTTTGCTAAGGGAAAGAGGTCGGTCTCAAAAAGCCACATACTGAATGATTTAACTCATATGACATTCTGAAAACAGAAACAGACTCACAGACATAGAATACAGACTTGTGGCTGCCAGGCGGGAGTGGGGTGGGAAGGGATAAACTGGGAGTTCGACATCTGCAGATACTGACTGGTATATATAACATAGATAAACATGTTTACACTGTACAGCACATGGAGTATTCTCAATATCTTACAGTAGCTTACAGTGAAAAAGAACATGAAAATGAATATATGTACATCCATGTATGACTGAAGCATTGTGCTGTACACCAGAAACTGACACAACATTGTAAACTGACCATACCTCAATAAAAACAAAACAAAACAAAACAAAACACAACTCATATGACATTCTGGAAAAGTCAAAACAACAGAGACAGTGATTGCTAAGGGCAGAACAAAGGGGTGGAGGGTTCTATAGTTCTGAAGCACAGGAGATTAGTTTAGGTCAATAAAACTATTTTGTATGATACTGCAATGGTGGATATATGATATTCTGCACATGTCAAAACCCATCAATCTTTACAACGTAAGCGAGAACCTCAATGTATGCAAATTCTAGAAAGTCATTTAAGAGGTCAGGGGAATCCCAGGATGGATAGCAGATGTGACAAGACAATCTAACAGTATTACAAACACACAGAACGACCTCTCTGTGGTGGAGAGGGGATGAAGGGAGATGCAGACCCCACTTAATGTTGTATGTAAGCGAGATTTATAAGGATATAGGCAAAGGAACTGCCTACTGTATTTTTTTAATGTTTTTTTTTTGCTTGCTTGTTCGGGGGGGGGAGGTAATTAGGTTTATTTGTTTATTTAATGGAGGTACTGGGGATGGAACCCAGGACCTCGTGCATGCTAAGCACACGCTCTACCACTGAGCTATACCCTCCCCGTAAGTGCTGT